TAGTGGAGATGTTTGAGTTCAGGGGCCATGACTGGAAGCCCTCAAATCATATCACGCAGGCTGCACAGCAACTAGGAACACATAGGTGTCATGCATGGGATCAGAAGTGGGGTCAGACTCATCCAGTTCTCTTCCATAACCCTTCCTCTGTGCCAGATCATGGAAGCTGGGACCCAAAGCAAGGCTCTGAATGGAAGTGGGCCTGGGTCCTCTAGAATCTCTCCCTATAGTCTGAGCTGCTCTCCAGAGGCCTCCCTTTCAGCTAAGAGCTGGGGGTGGGCACCAAAGCTATGGCTGGAAGCAGTGCTAACCCAGGAACACCTGAGCCACTAGAGGTTGATGAGGGGGTCACGGGAGAGTCCCAGCTGTGCTGGAGTCCTCCAACACTGTTGAATAAGAATGTCCCTGAGGGGGTCAGGGTTCATTAGGATAACCCAGCCGCCATCCCTGCCAGCAGGAATACTGATGGACAGTCTAGGCAGATGGCAGCCATATGGGTCACCCCTAGGCAGGCCTGCCCACCTGTTGGGCTCTTGCTTGGGTGACTGACTGACTGACCCACTGACCAACTTCCTGACTTCTACATCCTACTTAGGACAGGATGCCCAAACTCCTGCCTGCCCAGAACCATCCCACCTTGGACTGGCCAGAGCTTTCCAGCAGCCTGAGCCTCCATTTCCTTCCCTCCACTTCTGGCTGCTCAGATGACAGACTGGACAGAAGGCACACATCACTCCTCCTTCTCCCCCCCCCACACAAATGAGGGCACACACACATGCATGTGTGCACATAAACACACATACATATTCTGGCATATCCATATATTCAACTATATCTATATCTATATATATATAAGTATATGTATGTATGTATATGTGTACACATACAAATCCTTATACTAGTATACACTCTAACCCATGCATGTATATTCATACTTGGACACATGTATGTATACACATTCACATGCAAAAATATGCATGTGGATGCATTTATGTATCTAGAATCTGGAGTCAAAGAAAAGGGACAAGGTAGAAAGAGAGCATGACCAAAGACCACTAGTGGTGTGTTCTGGGGACTGTAAGGAGGCTAAATCATTAGTGTAGATACATGAAGATGAATGAGAGTTACCTACTAAAAATGTGGAGGTGTGAAGATGGTGGGGGAGTCTTGGCTGTGAAGCTAAGAAATCAAGGCTTGTCCCAGTGGGTGATGGGAAGTCCCCGGTGGATTTTGAGACAAGGATAGACAGGGTCTTTGAGCTGACATTAACATTGGGATTGCACAGAGGACCATGGAAGGTGATAGAAATCCTAGCTACCATGACCATGAGTCCCCTCAATGTGAACTAGGTCTCCTCCCGGGGTGTAGTCAACCTACTGTCTATTTTCTACATGGAGACATCAAGAGCTAGAGAGGAAAGGTACAGTCACTTCCGGTGGGGAGCAGGAAGTCAGACCCCAGTTAGACCCTGGTATCCCATTTGTCTGCCTTCAAGAGAGAAGCTCACAAAAGCAAAGACAAGACAACCTGGCTTATTACTTTGGTACCATCTTAGTCCCATCTTGTGCATATAACCTTTCCCCCTTCTTCTGCTTGGGGAACCTAGGCCCATGGTATCCTCCCTTATCTTTCCTCTTTCACCCTGTACTCTAGGTTCTATTCCCCATCCCAGTCCTAGCCCACTCCTTCTACTAAATAAAATAAAGACAAAAAAATAAAGTTACATTGTAGGGAAGAGCAGGATCAAGAAAAGGATAGGACTCTTGCTCAAGGTGGAAAGGATGCTGATAAAGAAAATAGAGAGAAGGTAGAACTACTCAATTTCCATTCTCTTTCTCTTTTCTATACCAAGGAGTATGATTTTCAGACTGAAGAAAAAGGAAACAAACTGGTTAACAGAGAACTGAAACTCAAGATAAATGATTTAGTAAGAGTACACTTAGCTGCCCTTAACAAGCTGAAATCGCCAAGCTCTGATGACCTACAAGCCAGAGTACTAAAAGAATCTGCTGATGTGATCACTGAATCACTGTTGGTGATCTTTGAAAGACTGTGAAGAATGAGGGGAGGAGAGGTGCCATCAGATTAGAAATGGGCAAATGTTCTGGTTTTCCAAAAAGGGAAGGGAGTAGATTTTTCAAATCAAAGGCTGGTGAGTTTCGATTCCCAGAAAAAAATATTTAAAATGGATATCCATTAAAATGTAGGCTCCTTGAATGTAGAGATTGTTTTGTGTTTGTGTGTTTATGTGTGTGCCTTTCATGTAGTGGTTGCTTAATGAATATGAAATGTTGAAATGAAAGGCAAGTCAGGAACATTTAGAAAGGGAAATGATATTACAAGAGATGGCTTACTGGGTAGGAGAGGAGGGAGAGATAGTTTCAGAAATGAAGATGATAAGAAAACAAAGGATAGCCATAACAATTTAAAAATAAAAATAATAAAGTTGTAGCTATAGAAAAAAAATAGAAAAGGAAGTGGTGATCACTCTTGAAGTCAGGATGGGCTTGTCAAAAACAGGTCATAACAGACCAACATCATTTTTCATTTTTGACAAGGTTACCTGAACTATTTGACAAATCAAATACAAGAATCATTTGAAGGAACTAAAGACATTTAGTCTGGAGAAGAGAAGATTTGGGGCTATCTTCTGGGACAGGGATTACATTTATTCTGTTTGGCCCTAGAGGACAACAGGAAGGAATGGGTAGAAGTCACAAAGAGGGTAAATTTAGGCTGGAGGTAAGGAAAAACTTCCTCACAATGAGAACTGTGCAGAAGTGGGAAGGGCTGTCTTGGAAGACAATGGATTTTCCCTTCCTGGAGGTCTTCAAGCAAAGGCTGGAGGATGTTGAAAAGAGAATTCATTTTCAACAATGGGTTAGACCAGATGACTTCAGAAGTGACCTTAGAACTCTGAGATTCTGTGAAGAAGAATCCAGTCCCAGAGGGCAGAACCAGTAGCAATAGGTAGATGGATATAGCAGAGAGACTGATTTAGGCTCATTGTAAGAAAAAAATTTTCTTGTGATTAGAGGTTGGCTTAGACCACAGCTCAGAACTCTCATGCTCAAATGATCCACCAGCCTCAGCCTGTCTCATAGCAGGGATTATAGGCATATACCACTGTGCCTGGTCCTCTGGATCATCTTTAGGAAAAGGTTGCACACTCACTTGTTGGAAGGGTTGTAGAGGGGATTCTTATTCAGGTATGGGTTGGACTAAATGACCTCTAAGGTGCCTTTCAACTATGACATATTATGCCTGAATTTCAGCAAAGAATTTGACCAAGTCACAATATTCTTGTGGACAAAATGAGAGATGTAAGTTGGATAAGAGTACACTTTGATGCATCCAGAACTGGCTCCTCAACCAGGTCCAAAAGTGCTGTCCAAATAGTATGGTGTCAACCTGGAGGAAAGTCTCTAGGAGAATGGCCAAGTGACCTGTCCTTATCATATTCTGTCAGATGCTTTTATGATGACTGGAGATAAAGACATAGTTGACGTGTTTATCAGATTTGGGGGTGACATGAAATTGAGCCGAGGTAACTGGTACTGGAAAAGTGAATTAGAATTTTTTTAAAAATCTCAACAACTTAGAATAATGGGCTAAGTCTAATTGGATCAAGTTTAACAGGGATGTGTGTATATTCAGTCTTACACTTGGGTTCCAAAAACCAGCAGCACAAGTATAGAAGGGGAAGGTGTGTCTAGATAACAGTTTGTGTGAAAATTATCCAGGAGTTTAAACAGACTACAAGCTCAATGTGAGTCAACAGTGTGATATAGCTGCTAAAAAGGTGACTATGATCTTAGGCTGCGTTGAGAAAAGCATAACATCCTAACAAGGAAGATGACCGTCCTGCTATATTCTGCCAAAGTCAGACCTTCTCTGGAGGGTAGCTTCAAGTTCTGGTGATACTAGAAATACCAGCCCTCTCACCTGGCAAAGTAAGAGGGATATGCAGATAGAAACAAGCATTTGTATTTACTACCACATTTTAAGATAGACATTAACATCTAAGTGGCAGTTAGGTGGCACAATGGATAAAGACTCATCTTCCCCAGTTCAAATTCAGCCTCAGACTCTTGCTAGCAGTCTGACCCTGGGCAATCCCTACTTGCCTCCCTATTTGAGATCCCTGTTTGCCTCAGTTTCCTCATCTGTAAAATGAAGGAAATGACAAACCATTCCAGTGTCTTTGCTAAGAAAACCCCAAATGTGGTCAAGAAGAGTTGAACAGAACTGAAATGATATATCAACAACTAGGGAACATCCAGAGAAAGGTGACCAGGATGATAAGAGGACTTTAGATCAGGCCAGATGAAGATCAGCTAAAGAAACAGAGAATGATTATCCCAGAGAAGAGATTTGGGGAGGACACGAGAGCTGACTTGAAGTACTTGAAGGGCTGTTACATGGAAGATGTTTTAAAGTGGTTCTGCTCAGCCTCCAAGGTCAGAACTAGGACGAATGGATGAAATCTGTAGAGGAGCAGATTTTGGCTCATGGTAAGGAAAATGTCTTAACCATTAGAGTTGTCCAAGAATGAGTTCTCCTTCATGGAAAGTCTTTAAACAGAAGTTGATTGTAATACCTGAGATTTTTTTTCTCAGGAATAAATAACTTCTGAATTTCCTTTGAATTCTGAATATCTGATTCTGTACTACTCTCCACCCATTGCCTGGATTCTGTCCTTCCTTCCCCAGACATAACTGCCATGCTACACAGTCTCCCCCACTGCCATGCCCTGGGTGTCTTTTGCCTCTAAAGCTTGGTCCTTCCTCACTATGCCTTCCCCCTTGACCCTTTCTAAAACTGGGTTCCTTTCCATTATTCACCTATCCTTCCTCATTCCCCTTCCCCACCCCCAGGCTTTTGCTTCTCTGCCCCCGCCTGAGTTCTGTGCCCCATGACTCATACAGGCATTGGGGGTGGGGGCATGCCTAGGATGCCGCTCAGCTGACGCTGGGGCCCTCTGTCCTTACGCATCCTCCTTAATTTACTGCCCATGGGGGCTCTAGAACGGGGATTAGCTCGTCCGTGCTGATCGGAGGGAACAGCTGCTGGGCAGGCTGCCGGAGCCAATGAGGGGGAAGCCAGGAACACTCCTCCACTCTGGGTTCGGACACCGCCGGCTGGCCGGAAGAGAGCAGATCTGCCGGCTCATCCCTGGCGTCCTGGGTACCAGGGTGGGGAGAGATCCAGGGCCTAAACATAATAGGGTTGGTCTTTTCCAGGAGCCTCTCAAAGGTGTCTATTCATTTAAGCCTGATAGGGCATCTCCAACTACAGGAGTTCCTACACCCTAGAGAGCAGCATGAAGTACTCACATGATTTCCTGCAACGCTCTAGGATCAGACAAAGGCCAACCATCTATTATCTTTTTTTTAAAAAAATTGCATTGATATATTTTCTTTTTACATCATTTTCTTTTTTAAATATGTTCCCCCACCATCCACTCAGCTAGCCATCCCCTGTAATAAGAATAAAAAAGGAACAAAGTAGTTCAGCAAAATAACCAACACATCAACTCAGTCTAACAGTGTACTCAATTCATAATACCCCACCTCTTCAAAGAAAGAGGGAGGAGGGGCAGCTAGGTGGTGCAGTGGATAGAGCACTGGCCCTGGAGTTGGGAGGACCTGAGTTCAAATTTGACACTTGTTGCTTACTAGCTGTGTGACCCGGGCATGTCACTTAACCCCATTGCCTAGGGAAAAAAAAGGAGGGAAGTACATTTGACTATCTCTTCTTTGGAGCCAAGCTTAGTCATTATGATGTCACAGAGTTCAGTTTCACTTTTGTGGGTTTTCCTTTTACATTTTGTAGTCATTCCACATATTGTTTTCCTACTTCTATTTACTTTACCTTGCATCAGTTCATATAGTTCTTCTTATGCTTCTCTGAATTTTTCAGTTCATTGTCAGAAGATGATGATTTTCATTTCTTATGATGCAGAAAGGAAGGAAACATGCACTTATTAAGTACCTACGTGCCAGGCACTGTGCTAGGCACTTTTTACAAAAATTATTTCATTGGATTCTCACAATAACCCTGCAAGGTAGGTGCTATTATTATCCCCATTTTACAGTTGAGGAAACTGAGGGAGACAGAGGTTCATTGATTTGCCTAGGGTCACACAACTAGTAAGTGACTGAGGCCAGATTTAAACTCAGTTCTTCCTGGCTCCAGGCCCAGAGCTCTATTCACCATACCACCTAGCTGCATCTGTAGCAATATTTAATTGTGTGCATATTATTCAACTTTGTTAGCAATCCCCCAATTGATGGGCATCTATTTTGTTTCTAATCCTTTGCTACCACAAAATGTGGTGTTCTGAAAATTTTGGCGTATATGCATGGGCCTTTTTTTCCCCCTGACTTTGATCCCCTAAGATATGCCTCACAGTGAGATCTCTAGGTCAAAGAGTATGGATGTTTTTAGCCTTTTTAAAAATAGCATCATTCCAAATTTGCTTTCCGTAATCACTGGCCAATTCACAATTTCACCAATCAGTCTGTATGCCTTTCTGCAGCCCCTCCAACACTGATCATTTTTTTCCCCAATATTGATGATTTCCATATTTTGTCATTTTTCTGATTCCTGGTTGTCCAGTTGTACCCCGCTTTCTAGGCCCCTCCACTTATGTGTGGTCTTCTCTCATTAGAATTTGAGGGCAGGGATTACTTTGCTTGCTTATAATTGTATCCCCAGCACTTAGCACACTGCTTGGCACATAGTAAGTGCTTAATACTTTATTTTTCTTTCTGTCTTTCTTTTCTCCTTCCTTCCTTTCTTTCTTCCTTCCTTTCTTCCTTCCCTTCTTTCTTCCTTTCCTTCTGTCTGTCTATCCATCCATCTACCTATTTGTCTGTTTATCCATCCATCTATCTACCTATTCTATCTATCTGTCTGTCTGTCTGTCTGTCTATCTATCTATCTATCTATCTTTTTCCTCTGACTACTACAAACTCCAGTTGAAAGCTTAGACCAAGCTTGAAGTTCTCAAGGCATGACTCTCTTTAACCTGCAGAAATAATCTCTTAATATCACACCACACCAAATCTTTAATTGACATTGATTAGATTCAGCAAACACTGTTTGCAAGGGCCAGGCACTGGTGTGGAATGGGGTACAAAGATGAAAAATTACATAGTCTCTGCCCTCAAAGAGCTTGTAATCTAACAGAGGGAATAGGACGTGCACACAATCAACTGTGATACAAGAGGGAACATGATAACCGCAAAGAAGTAGCTGGGGGCAAAGTATTATGAAAAATCTGAGGGGAAAATAATCCCTTTCAACTTGGGACATCAAGGACCACTTCAATGAGGAAACATATGCCTGAGTTGGGCTCTTAAGGAAAAGAGAGACTTTAACACACAGTGTCAGGGGTCAGGGTAGAAGTGGAGTCATTCTAGGAATGGAGGAAAGCCTGAGAAAAGACAAGGAGATGTGACTAGATAGGGTGAGAATAGGGCTTTGCATACATAATCTCATTTGGAGAGAAGGTTTTATCATCAGCCCAGTCTTACCAATAATAAAACTGAGGTCGAGAGGTGGTGGGGTGGGAAGTGGGGATTGCATTAGAGCATGTCTCATGGAGCTGGGCAGATACACTTTTCCTTTATAGGGAAGGACATCTGTGTTCATTTCAGACTCTTTGTGACCCCATTTAGGATTTTCTTGGCAGACACACTGGAGTGGTTCAACATTTCCTTCTCCAGCTCATTTTACAGATGAGGAAACTGAGGCAAACAGGGTGAAATGACTTATCCAGGATCATACAGCTAATATCTCAGGTCAGATTTGAATTCAGGAAGAAGAGTCTTTCTGACTCTAGGTCCAGCACTCTATCCACTGTGCTGCTTAGCTGCCTGCCTGGCATAGTAGGTGCTTAATAAATGCTTATTGATTGACTGATCTTTGAGGTCTTCTTCATTTCTAACCTTCTATCTTCCAATATGTCTTCCAATTCTGATAGTCTAGGTTTCATTTATGTGAAAGAGGGGAACTCACTGAAACTCTGAAAGGAAATTTACTTCTTTTATGTTTTATTCATTATATTATTATTATATTACATTATGTCACATAAAGTAACTTGGGAGGCTAGAGAGGTGTTGTCTAATAGAGAGAGATCCTTGGGAGACCAGCTTTAATGAATAGATAAGAACAAATGCTAATTAATTTCCCAATTGGCTTCTAGGCCCTTTAAAATGGCTTTCAGAAGTTGTTTGACTTGTTCCCCAACCAGTTCTAGGTCAGAGCTGCTAATGTACTTAGGGACAGCAAGTAGTTTAAATACGTCCTTTACATTTGTGGGTGTTTCTTTTTGGTCTCTCCAGAGCTCAGGAAGAATGGAATTGAGAGAGGTCAGTGGGGAGAGGCGATACTGAGACCATTCACTGACTCTAAACTGATGCTTGGTATTCCTTCCCTCTAGGCTAGCCTAAATCCCCGGCCCACAACCTGTCCCCACCCCACCCCCACTCTCCACTAACCCCAATCCTCTCTCTGTCCTTCATCAATCTTGTCCTAGCTTCCAGCTGGAGCACATTAGCTCTGGTTTACAGCCCCCTTGGCTGGGGCTAAGGCTGGAGCTAGGGAACCATAAGCCAGCCCAGGTTGGATGGATCTGTCACTCGATCCCACTGTCTATTCTACAGCCAGCCCTATAATCTCTGGGCAATGTGATCTCGGGCAGTGGGAGCCCCCAGCCAGGAATCATGGCTCCCAAGCCAAGCTCAGAAATTCCCCTGGCAGGCTGAGTGTCCGAGAGCCTCAGAAAGTGGCTGGGGGCTGGCCCACAGGCTCCTATTGTCCTAGGGGGAGATACCCGATCTTGAGTGGGGAGAACTCCAAACCTAGCAGGGAGGCACACATTTCCATTTATTTTGAAGTTACGGATTGGGGGAGAAATTCAACAAGAAATTAAATATAGACAATTCTTTTCTTAAAAGCTTCCTTTCCAAAGCTAAAGTCCGTTTGATGATTTAAGACCAATGTTTGAGTTCAAAAACTCAGATTCAAGGGCAGTCAGAGTTGCGAGTGACCCAAAAGGTGCTTTGGTCCAATCCTTTTTTTCCCACTGATCCTTTTGTTCACTAATAATCACATTTGGGGAGAGGGGAACCTCAGCTAAATTCATGGGAAAACATTTTTTCATCTTTTTTTTTTCCAGAAAGGATCAAAGCATTCTCAGAAAAAAGAAGTTTTGTTTTCTAAGTTTTCCTACCCCCCCTCCCCTCCAGGTCCCCACAAAAATGACCTTAGCCATCTTTTCTAGCTTTGAATTTATCTTCAACCCAGACCAACTCCTCATCTTTTCTTCTCCCAAAATGGACAAACTCAATGTCCAAAGTCAGAGGGAGGGAGACACATTGTGGAAACACGCCCACAAGACAAGGTCTGTCTTGGGTAGAAGTTGAAAGTTCTTCTTGTCCAGAGGAAAATGTTAAGTCATGAGCTGTCATGAAGAGGCAGCTGGGTCAAAGTATCCTCCCTGAGCAACTAGGTCTGTCCTGGGTCTGTGATCTGAGGAGTCAGAAGAGGCAGCCAGGGTGAGGGCTATATGCAAACCTGATGGTACCATGCCTATTCTGATCCACTGAGCCTCCTTCCCTTGACCCCATCACTTCAGTCAGCCTAGGATCAGAACAAGTGGCTAACAGGTTGGGTTGACTGGAGGCTAGGGGTTGGAAGGCTGGGGTCTCTGCTTTTTAAGTCATTTAGTGGTCAGAGAAATAACACCAGATCACAACTCTCAAACTTTTGCTCTCTCATCCAGGCTTGGGGAACTTGCAGCCTCGAGGCCACATGTGATCCTCTAGGTCCTCAAGTGCGGCCCTTTGACTGAATCCATTTGGAATGGCCATGATTGAGGACCTAGAGGGCCACATGTGGCCTCAAGGCCATAGGTTTCCCAACCCTGCTAGGCCCTCAGACATGTGTTCCTCCCTTACTCTGCTTTCAACTGATGGATCTCCCCACTGGAGTGTCTGTAACTCTTACTAGGGCAGGATTTCTTCACTTTTTTGTGTCATGGGCCTTGGGCAATCTGGTAAAGCCTATGGACCCCTTTGACAGTCTGGCAAAACTGATGGACCCTGTCTCAGAATAATGAGCCTCAGTTTCCTTCTCTGTCAAATGAGGGCAATATTACTTCCACTGCCTCCCT